CAGCTCAACCATCGCGCCCGGAAGTCCAAGTGCGGTGGAAAGACCCCTTAACAGGCCAGTGGAGGGGCCCTGACCCATTGCTGACTATGGATCGAGGGTTTGGTTGTGTCTTCCCCCTCAGTGAGTCAACCCCTATATGGGTCCCAGCCAAAAATCTTAAGTTCTTGCCAGACACCCAGGGTACTGAGGGCCCTGAGGAGTTTATTGTTTGTATGTTTCAGACTGCATTATGAACCCTTTGTGGATGCTCCAAGTGGCCGCCCTCCTCAGGTCAACAAGGACAAGGACCTCTGCCACCGGGGAAGGTCCTCAGGATCCAGACAACCAAACCTGGGAGGTCATACAATCTGCTTGGAGGTGTCTGTATCACATTTAAAAAAAAATCGGTAACATCACTTTTTGAAGTTGTTGTACAGAATCGACGTGGACTAGACCTGTTGTTCTTACAGCAAGGAGGATTATGTGCTGCCCTCAAAGAAGAATGCTGCTTCTACGCTGACCACTCTGGAGTGGTCAAAGATTCACTAGCTAAGCTTAGAGAAGGGCTAGAAAAGTGCAAAAAAAGAGTGAGAGGCCAATAGTAATTGGTTCCAAAGCTGGCTTTCAATTTCCCCATGGCTCACCAACCCTGTCCTCCCTGGTGGGCTCCCTAGCCATTTTCCTTGTCTTGGGGCCTTACGCCATTCGCCAGATTGTGTCCCTTATAAGGCGCAACACCACTTCTCTCGCAATGCTCACCCAGGTGGTAGAGGAGGTGGCCCAAAATGAAAGCCCTGACAGCCCTTGGGTCAATATGGCCCTTTAAAAAAATCAATGCCAATCTCTAAGGCTCCGCCCCACCCCCACTTGGCTGGATAGTCAATGATGGCTAAGATTTCCAGAGGGAAACAACCTAAGACAGGCACAGCCACCAGAGGGAATGGAGGCGAGACTGGGAAGGTTAGCCACCTCCAGCTGCCTTATTAAAACAAAAAGTGGCAGATGTGGGGCCTTAAAAACTAACACCACCTTAAGTGACATTACAAGCAGCGCCATTGTGGGCCCACAAGGGCCTATTAACGTGGCAGCCTAAGACGGCGCCGGGAGGAAGTAGGGTGGGAGCGTCTGTGGGAACCTTGCCTTAGCCCTTATTGGCCAAATATGCGCTTCTGTGCTCGTGAACACTGTGTGGTTGCAATAGCTAGGCATTGAGACAGGATGTATGCCCTTGACCTTTAAGCTGATAAGATTATGTAAAAAACCTCCCTTCCCCATTTGCCTTTAAAAGCAAGTGCTTGTGTGATAATAAACGGAACTGCTGCTCGACAGAACCCCCACCGCGTCTGAGTGTCCTTTGGGCTGGTTTGGGGCCGGCGGTTGTGCTCACCTCTCTTCATAGCTTTCTTCCCCTGTCTCCTTCCAATGGGGACAGGAGGGAAAGGGGAATCCGGGCCATTCGCTCGCCCACCGAAAGGAACGAGGCTAGGGCTGTTCGGGTCAGCTGGCGGCGGACCCAACAAGTTGTAGGTGTTTTAAAAATGTATTCTTGATGTTAATTTCTTATGAGATAGGTAATTTCCAACTTTTCTCTTTTTTGAGTTGCTAATGTGAATAGTATTGTTTTTTGTTTTAAATATTACTTGGTCATTGCTGGGGTATAGAAAAGTGATTGACTTTTGTATATAGAAAAGTGATTGACTTTTGTATATTAATGTTGTATCCTGCAACCTTGCTGTAATCAGTAATTAATTCCAGGAGGTTTTCTATTTACTTGCCAGGATATTTTATACAGATAACCGTATCATCTGCAACTAACAACAATTTTATTTATTTCCCAGTCTGTAAATCTTTTATTTAATTTTGTTGTGTTATCATGTTGAAGGAGTGATGAGGATACATTCTTGCTTTGTTCCTGATTATCTGGGAAAGCTTTGAGTTTCTCACCATTAAGGGTAATGTTAGCTGTAGTTTCCTGTAGATAATCTTTATCAAGTTGTGATGTTCCTCTCTATTCCTAGTTTACTGAGAATTTCTATGATGAATCAGTGCTGTATTTTTTCAAATGCTTTTTCTCCATCTATTGATGTGATTATGTGGTTTTTTGTTTTTTCTTGTTAGTGTTTTTATGTTATCAGTTATGCTAATTGTTATTCATATGTTGAACCACCTTTGCCTACCTGGGATAAATACCACTTTGTCATGGTGCATAATTCTCTTTAGACATTGTTGAATTAGGCTTGCTCATATTTTATTGAGCTTATTTGCATGTATGTTCACGAGAGAGAACAGTTCGTAGTTTTCTATTCTCATAATGTCTTTGCCTGGTTTTGGTACTGAGGTAATGCTCTTCTCATACAATGAGCTGGGAAGTACTTCATCTTCTATTCTCTGCAATAGATTGTAGGTAGGTGGTATATTTTCTTCCTTAAATGTTGGTGTCAGTTCTCCTGTGTACACGTCTGGGCCAGGTGCTTTCTGTTTTGAACATTATTATTTTCTCAATTTTCATAAAAGATACAGGCCTATTCACATTGTGTATTTTTGTTTGTGTGAGTTTTGGTAAACTGTCCTTGAAGGAATTGGTCTGTTTCATGTAGGATTTCAAATGTGTGCAGAGTTGTTCATAGTATTTATTATTTGTTTAATGTCCACAGGATCTGTAGTGATGTCCTGTCATTCATTTCTCATATTAGTAACTTCTGTCTTGTGCTCATTATCTTTTTAGTTAGCCTGGCTATAGGCTTTTATTTTTTTCCTCCAGATTTTCATTTTCAATTTTATTTCTTTTCTAGTTTTTATTTTCTTCTGCTTCCTTTCAATGTAATTAGCTCTTTTTTCCCCTTTGTATCCAAAGGTGGAAACATAGATTATTGATTTTAGATTTTTTTTTTAAAGTACACATTCAGCGTCATAAAAATTTGTGAGAACACTGTTATTTCTGTATCCTACAAAGTATGGTGTCATTTTCTCTCCCTTTTTTTTTTTTTTCCTTCCAGTGGCTGTCCAGTATGGAATCGAAATCCTCGACCTTGGCATTACAAGGCTGTGCTCTAACCAATTGAGATAACTGGTCAGCCCCATTTTCACTTTCACTTATTAAAACTATTTTTAATTTTCTTAGTTTTTCATTTTTCTTCTTTTTTTAGCCCATGTATTAGAGTGTGTTGTTTAATCCCACTCTCTTTGGGAATCTTGTAGTCATTGCTCTGTTAGAGATTTCTAGTTTAATTCTTTTGTGGTCTGACAGCACATATTGTATGATTTCTATTATTGTAATTTTCCTAAAGTGTGTTATGTGAATCTGAATATGGTCTTCTTAGTGATTTTTTTTATGTGAGTTTGAGAAGAATGTCTCTTCTGTTATTGTTGGAAGTACTTTGTAGATATCCATTATATCCAGATCATGTTATTGAGTTTAATTATGTCTTTCATGGCTTTCTGTCTGCTGAATTGGTTCCTTTTTGATAGAAGGTGTTGAAATCTCCAGTTTTGATGGTGGGTTCTTCTATTTCTCCTTGAAGTTCTATTAGGTTTGGTGTCATGTAGTTTGATGATCTATTGTAAGGCACACACACATTAAGAAATGTCCTCTGGGAGAACTAACTCCTATATTATGATGTAATGCCCCCTTTTCTTCCCCTCTGTCCTGTGTTTAAAGATAAAGTGTTTCTGCAGATTCTGTACTTGTTCTTTTTTTACTTTCAACCTCACGTTCATTCACTCTGATGTCTTCAGATAACATGGAAATTTTGATGCTTTTCAAATCTTTGTGTCAGCTTAACTTTCTCTCTTGAATGTTGGAATAATACATCCAATTGCCACTTGGACAATTCCACAGATATTTCAAGTGTTATGTATTCAAGTCTGTTTCACTTTTGCTCTTTGTATTTTTGTCCCATTTTTCAAACTTTGCAGTTCCAGGACGTAACTAGCTGTACTTACGTAGATAGCCTGAGAGTAAAACTCTTCTTTTTTATTTCTGCACAGCAAATTACTATCATGTTCTGTTTCTGCTTTTTCATTCCGTTTCTTTTTTATAGTGTTAAGTCTCTCTTCTGTGTGCTTATTTCTCTATGTTGTAATGTAGTTGGTCTTCTGTCACCCTGTTTTCTTTTTCCTTCTGACTCTGTAGAAGCCTTTTCCATTCTCCTTGTAGTGGATGACTATTAAAATACAAATAAAGTTATGTACTTACAGGACCACATTATTTGCTCTCTGTGGTTTAGAAAGTTGCAGTGTACAACCTGATGTGGACACAAGCAATCCTTTGGCACATAGGAAGGAAATTTTGGAATGCCTTTTTAATGTACTTTTAATTCATAATTAGTTAAAAAACAACTATATAAAATGTTTTACTGCTTGAAATAGGTTCCATATTTAAGTGAAGAATCAGTCTATAATCAGTTGTTTCAATATTGCTTTTCCCTTATGCTGCCCAAGATCATTCACTCAGACATGGTGCTGTGTGTAGTTCCATTAATTTGGGGTGTGTTCTTTGTGTTCTTGTGACTGGGCTTTTGCTGTTGCCTCATATTCATGAGACCATGCAGTTCACATGGAAGAGTTTAACAGCTTTGGCATTTCAGTGAAGTGCAAACAGAATACAAAATAAAACTATATTTTCTATTTCTTTCTTATGCCAGTCTATATTGAACTTGTGTTTAAATTTGTTCATCTAACACAGTATTTGAGGTATGTATGTATGTATACTTATGCCTTCATGCCTGTTTATACTCTCCTTGGAAGAGATAAATTTCATTCACACTTTTATCACTAGCAACAAGGATATTTCTTAAGGTATAAACTAAGTTTTATAATATTATTTTTATTAATTGATAACTTATTACAGTGCCCGGATATTTGTCTTTTGATTTTTCTTCTTCCCATTCTGTGGAGTACAACAAAGTGGCATCTTATATAAGACACATACAACACATGCACACACAGAGGTGTGAACTCCCAGGTTTCTGTTTTGTGACCCAGAAATGTTGACTTGAGTTGAGAACAATGTGTCATTCCAGGACTTGGTATCATTTGAGGATGTGGCTGTGGACTTCACCTGGGAGGAGTGGCAGGACCTGAATGATGCTCAGAGAACTTTGTATAGAGATGTGATGCTGGAGACCTACAGCAACCTGGTGTCACTGAGTGAGTAAAACTTCCCAATAACTTTCAGGAGAAACAGTTTCTTTTTCGTTCATAAATATAGGAACAATTTATAGGGTTTTATGCTGTTTTGGGAAAATTACATTTCTTGTAAAAGTGTGCTTTCTTTCTCATGAGATTCAAATTGGCCTCTTTATCGCACAACATCTGAAGCTGAGCACTTGCCATTCTTCTGAGGATAAGACTTAGCAGTTTTACAATTACTTCCCATTAACAGAATACTGCATTAACAAAGCTGAGGTGATTGTCAACTTAGAAGATGGAGCAGAGCCATGGACAATAGAATGCCCAAAGCAGATCCTGCAAGATTTGTCAGCACATATAGTGCAAAAGCCAAGAAAAGTAAAGCTCATTACATATTGGCAGTGTTCAGCTGTTTCTAGCAATCTTTCTCGTAAGTCCCAGATTTGAGGATGGCTCACCTGCAGTCCTGTATTACATAATGTCCAAGGTGGGGTGTCCCATGTACATCCCAATATTTTATTTGGCTGAATCTGTTTTGTATATACCCAAAATCTATTTCCTAAATTTCTCTTCTTTGACATTTATTTTTTCTATTTGCTTTCTTAACATTTTCGGTTGTGCTTGTGTCTTCGATTCTCATATACTTTTTAAAAACATGTATCTGTTTGTTTTCTATTGTTTCTGACAGAATACCTGTAACTGTAATTTATAAAGAAAAAAATCTTTTTCTTACAATCTGTTCTGGAGGCTCAGCATTCCAAGTTCAAGGGGTTGCATCTGGTGAAGGCCTTTGTTCTTGTGGGAACTCTTCACAGAATCCCAAAGTAGTGCAGTGTATTACATAGCAATTCACTAAGAGAATAGGAAAAGAGGTACAGCAGTGACCCTTGTACCACATCAAAAATCATGAAGTTGAGGAGAACCCTGCATGGGAGAACGAAAGGGGTGTCCATGATTTTGAAGGAAAACCAGAAGATTCTGGGTGCCAAGACCATGTGAACCAAGGGTTCCATGTTGAGGGGATAAGATTGTTGATTGGGAGTGGTTTTCTGTTTTCTTCTTGGAAATTATTCAGAAAAAAAACCAAAATGAGAAATGTGCAGGAGACTCGTTTTATGAGAATAGAAGACCACCAAAGCTTCACGACACAAAACAAATGATTTCACAAGAAATAAATTATCAAGTGGTGGTCCATGTACCAGAAATTGGGGATAGAGTGCAAGTTGATTTGAGAAGGAATCAGAAGAACATATTTCAAAGATGGTGGGGGGCCTAGCCCATGGTGCACTGGGGAGAGTGCGGCGCTGGGAGTGCAGCAGTGCTCCCGCCGCGGGTTCGGATCCTATATAGGGATGACCGATGTGCTCACAGTGCTCACTGGCTGAGCATGGTGCGGCCAGTCTCAAAAAGGACAAAAAAAAAAGAGACAAAGATGATGGGAACAGCCTTGGATACAGAACCAAATATTTTAGAACAGAAGTGTGTTTCTAGGGTGGAGAACTGATGTTTCCTTTATTCTAATGGTTTATGAGAAGCAGAGGAAGTCAGGTTAAATGGAAAACTTGGAGGAAGCTATCTTTATCTAGGGTGGAGAAATGGATATTTTATTCTTTGAAAAACTTCCACATTCCTATAGCCATTTTCTAAGGAAGGAGTGTAAAGCATATAAACATAAATGCAAAATCCTTATCCTCAGCCTTGTTCCTGCATATGTGATAAAAAATTGGCTCACTTCTGTACCTGAAAGTGGCTGATGATGGAAAATCTAGCCATCTTTTTTGTGAAATAATGAGAAAATAGCAGCAGGAGACACCATTGTTGTAAAAATGAAGCAGAGAAAATGGTGTAAATAAATGAAAGGTGCTTAGTTGAAAAGTACGTGTAGGCATAAAATAAAAATTCTTAACAAATATTTACTCGTAAATTAAGATTTAAAAATGAACAGTGAAGGAAAGAAAAACATGATACAACATTAGAAAATAGTACAATATTACATTGAAAGTAAGAAAAAATTCCATAAACTCATGAAACCAACATCTATTATTGATTTTTTAATAAAATCTTTTGTTACTAGGATTGGAAGGCAGTTCTATACCTGTATTTGAGCAATTAATGAGATGTGCTTATGTGTAGTTCATTATTAGTTACTTTTTTCTCATTTCAGATGTCCAGATAGATGATGACCTCATGGAGAGGAAGCATGAAAGTTACAGTAGATGCTTTCAGCAAGTTGTAATCACCAACAGCAACACATCAGCTGAGGAGAGAGTTGTGTTAGGAAAATCATTTTATTTGAATTCATATCATGTTTTAAATCAGATTATACATAATGGAAAGTATTCAGGAAAGGGAAATGAGTTTTACATATGTCAGAATGCACTTCTTCCTAGAAAGCCTGATGAGATGCCTGCTGGAGAGAAACCTGATGATCATCATATAACTAGAAAATTGCCCAGACATCATGAGCCTCTTAGTCAACATCCCAATATTCAACCTGGGAAGCAGATTTTAGAATACAGTGGAAAAGGGAAATCCTCCAACACAGAGCCAATAATATTTACACATAAAAAGATTCATATGGATGAGACCACCTATAAGTATAATGAGTATGGGAAAGGTAAGTCAGCTGTCATTGTCCAAGAAATAAACCAGGTAGAAAGGAAAACCCTTCAATGTGTTATATGTGGGAAAATGTTCTGTAAGAAGTCTGAACTCACTAAACATCAGATTACACACACAGGAGAGAAACATTATAAATATACTGAATGTAAGAAATCTTTTGCTAAGAAATTATACCTTACTTCACACCAGAGAACAGCTACACAGGAGAAGCTTTATCATTGTAATGAACATGAGAAAAATTTTTGTCAGAAGTCAGACCTTACAGTAAATCAGGGAACTCACACAGGAGAAATGTATTATGGAAGTATTAGCTGTGGAAAAAGCTTCTGTCAGAATTCACTCCTCAGCCATCCTGAGAGACTTCACCCAGGTGAGAAACCATATGAATGTAGAGAATGTACAAAATTTTTCTACCATGTGTCAGCCCTCACTGTATATCAGAGAGTTCACACAAGTGAGAAACCACATAAAGAATATAAAAAAACATTTTACAGTAATAAATGTAAAACCTTTCTCCAGAAGTCACACTGCAACAGTCATCAGAGAACTCACACAGGTGAGAAACCATGTGAATGTAAGGAATGTGGAAAAACTTTTAACCAAATGTCAAGCTTCAGCATTCATCCCAGAATTCACACAGGTGAGAAACCATATGAATGTAAAGGAAGCAGAAAATCTTTTAACCTAAAGTCAGATTTCAGCAGGCATGAGAGAATTCAAACACTTGAGAAACCATATGAATGTAGAGAATGTGGAAAAGCTTTTAACCAAAAGTTTTACTTAAGCATTCATCAGAGAACTCACACAGGTGAGAAACCATATGAATGTAGAGAATGTGGAAAAGCTTTTAACCAAAAGTTTTACTTAAGCATTCATCAGAGAACTCACACAGGTGAGAAACCATATGAATGTAAAGACTGTGGAAAAGCTTTTAGCCACAAGTCAAGCATCAGGAAGCATGAGAGAATTCACACAGGTGAGAAACCATATGAATGCAGAGAATGTGGAAAAGCTTTTAGCCAAAAGTCAAGCCTCAGCACTCATCAGAGAACTCACACAGGTGAGAAGCCATATGAATGCAAAGAATGTGGAAAAGCTTTTAGCCACAAGTCAAGCATTGGGAAGCATGAGAGAATTCACACAGGTGAGAAACCATATGAATGTAAAGAATGTGGAAAAGCTTTTAGCCTAAAGTCATACTTCAGCATTCATCAAAGAACACACACAGGTGAGAAACCATATGAATGTAAAGATTGTGGGAAATCTTTTGCCCATAGGTCAGACATCAGGCAGCATGAGAGAATTCACACAGGTGAGAAACCATATGAATGTAAAGATTGTGGAAAAGCTTTTACCCACAAGTTATCCTTCAGCATTCATCAGAGAATTCATACAGGTGAGAAACCATATGAATGTAGAGAATGTGGAAAAACTTTTAACCAAAAGTCAGGACTCACCATTCATCAGAGAACTCACACAGGTGAGAAACCATATGAATGCAAAGAATGCGGAAGCACTTTTAACCAGAAGTCACACCTGAGCAGGCATCAGAAAATTCATACAAATGAAATACCAGATGGATGTGATGAAGATACGAAATTTTTCTACCATGAGTCAGCCCTTGTATATCAGACAGTTCACCCAAGAGAGAAATCACATAAAGAATATAAAAATTTTTTTTACAGTAATAAGTGTGGTAAAACCTTTCTCCAAAAGTCACACTGTAGCAGTCATCAGAGAATTCACACAGGTGAGAAACCATGTGAATTTAAGGAATGTGGAAACACTTTTAACCAAAAGTCAAGCCTTACCATTCATCAGAGAACTCACACAGGTGAGAAACCATATGAATGTAAAGACTGCGGGAAAGCTTTTACCCACAAGTCAGGCATCAGGAAGCATGAGAGAATTCACACAGGTGAGAAACCATATGAATGTAAAGAATGTGGAAAAGCTTTTAGCCAAAAGTCAAACCTCAGCATTCATCAGAGAACTCACACAGGTGAGAAACCGTATGAATGCGAAGAATGTGGAAAAGCTTTTAGCCAAAAGACAGGCCTCAGCAGGCATGAGGTAATTCATACAGGGGAGAAACCATATGAATGTAAAGAATGTGGAAAAGCTTTTAGCCTAAAGTCATACTTCAGCATTCATCAGAGAACTCACACAGGTGAGAAACCATATGAATGTAAAGCCTGTGGGAAACCTTTTGCCCACAAGGCAGACATCAGGCAGCATGAGAGAATTCACACAGGTGAGAAACCATATGAATGTAAAGACTGTGGAAAAGCTTTTACCCACAAGTCATCCTTCAGTAGGCATCAGAAAATTCATACATTTGAGAAGCCACATGAATGTAAAGACTGGACAAACTTTTACCCACATGTCAGACATCAGGAAACAGAGAATTCACACAGGTCAGAAACCACATGAATGCTAGGAATGTGGAAAAGCTTAACCAAAAGACACACCTCAGCAGCCATCAAAGAATTCACATAGGTGGGAAACCATGTGAATGTAAGGAATGTGAGAAAACAGTTTACTGGAACTCACTGTAATAGACATGAACAAATTCACACATGGGAAAATCCCAATTCATGTAATGGCCATGGAAGAAGGTTTTGCCATAAATCGTGTCACATTTCATCAGAGAACTCACACCAAGAAGATGCCCTATAAATGCACAACTGTCCCTTGCTATTGGAGGGTGTTTTCAGGAGCCTGTTGATGAAAACACTTGCAAATTATGATGCCCCTTCTATAAATGGTGTACTGTTTCAATATTACCTATGAACCTTTTTCCATGTCTTTTACATCTTTAGTAGAATATGTTACTGAATACAGAAGAATTCCTTATAAATAGTTGTTATACTGTGTTGGTTTTTAATTGTTACAGTTTTTTTTATTTTTATTGGTGGTTGAATCAGCAGATGTGCAACCCTCAGATATAGAAGGGGGTCAGTAATTCTGAAAACATCTTTTTTCAGCAGTTACAGGGCTGGCTACAGTTAGTGTATTGTTGGTTAGAGCATGAGGCTGATAACACCATGGGTACCTTTACTAGGCAGCCATAAGGGGGAAAAAGAAAGAAAAGTAAAGTAAAAAGAACTCACACTGCAGCAACGATGAAATAATTTACATGGGGGGAAATTCTGCGTGGATGAGACTGGGTATGTATTTTCTAAAAACACCTTTTTTCTCTTGTACACATGCCTGCAATCTCAGCATTTAATTAGTGTGTGTGGAACCATGTAATTTAGCTGTGTTCAGGGGAGTATGGATACAAGTTATAAACATTACTTCCAGGCCAGGCAGTAAAAAAAAATGCCATTGTCCCTGATTTCTCATTCTTTGGGACTGAAGGGCAGATGACTCCTAGGGCAGAGTTAGGCCATAGGTGTGAAAAATTCACCCTAATTTAAGACAGACTGAATTGAAGAAATGATAGTTCTTTTCAACTCTATCCCCAAATTCTGTATTCATATTTTATATAAGAAATGCTTACTATTGTTTGACATTTCATGTGTGATCTCTGTTCTGACACAAATAGCCCATTGTGGTAACTGACTTTATGAACTTTCTCAGAGAAGTTACCAGTTCTTGAATATGAGAATATTCACACAGAAGAGAAACCTGTATTGTCACCTTTTACACCTAAGTCTGCTTATGGGAAAACTCAATTATGGGCAGAAACAGTGCAATACATATGGAACAACTTACCAGGCAGGGACTTCTCATTGAGCAGTGACACTAAGTTTATCTTTATCAGTATCTTTAATGTGTCAAAGCTTTCAACGTAACTTTCATTTTTATATATCAGATAATTTGAAATGAAAAACTTTATGTAATGTGAATGCAAATTTTCCAATAGAGCTGACAAATGTAGGATCAAAACTATTTTAAAAGTTTTGACTAACAACAGTTAAATGTGAGTGGTGATATGGCCTGAAGGGGGACATTTGGCTATGTCTGAAGACAGTTTTGTTGTCATAACAGGAAGTTAAAAGGTCTAATAGAAAGAAGCCAGAGATGGTGCTACACAGCCTACAATGCACAAAACAGCCCCATGTATGCTGCATTTATGCATATGAGTATTATTTGTTAAAAATTTATCTTGATAGAAGCCACCACACCTACAGATAGGAAATACACATAGGATAGTAGTGACTTAGATCAGAATTTTTCATTAGCCTATTATTCATTGTTACAAACCATACTTATTCTTTATGCCCCTTATCCAATCTCTACCCTTCCCCTTCCCCTCCCCTTTCTAGTCACCATAGATTTGTTCTCTCCATCTGATAGATTAGCTGACCCTCTGTTGGTTTGTTGCATAGATGATCTGTCCGTACTGAGACAGATGTGATCAAGTCCTGCCGTTATCATAAATCAGATGCTTCTTTTACTCTGTAGTGTGCTTTTTGAAGAGAGTGTTGTTGCTTTTTTTTTTTTTTTGTCACCACTGGTACCTCTCCTTGTGTCAATGCAGTTGGGAGTCTGGTGTATCATGCACAGTGGCTGTGACTGCTGCTGTAGAGCATAGCTGCTTTTGCAGTAGCCATGGCAATTGTGGCTATGTGAGCTACCTGCATGAAAATGGTGTTTTTGGTATGCTCTGTACCTGATTGTGGCTGGGTTCAGCTTCGCCTGACTGCATGCCTTAGTACCCTGGTGTGGCCCACGGTGGTGGTGGTGGCTTTCCTAGTTCCAGCTTGGTTCAGCTTTCCCTAGCTCCAGACCTCTGGACCCTAGCAGGGCCCAGACAGTGGCAGCTGCTTGCCTAGCCATTGCTGTGTACAGCTTCCTCTGACTCCATGCCTCATTCTAAGATGTGGAAAAGCTGGGGAGGAGAAGGGGGAGGGGAAATTGGGTGGGAGGAGGGGGAATGAGGTGGAGCATGATTGAAGCTCGTGGCCTCCGTCATTCCTTCAGGGGAGGCCAGGGGGCTTCTAGCAGTGGCTGGGTTGTCACTGGGCTACATGCAGATGTTGGGGGTGGGGTTCCAGCCCTTGGCCCCCAATTGCCCCAGCTCAGGAGCCTAGGGTGCTTCATACAGCAGCTCACTGGTTGTCACTGGGCTAGTTTTGATTTCCAGGGGATGTGGCTGAGTCCGTTGACTCACCATTGCTCCAGCTTGGGAGACCAGGGCACTTTCTGTGGTGGCATGATGGTCATCACTGGGCTGGTTGCAGATGTTAGGGGGTGCGGCCAAGGCCCTTGGCCCTCCACTGTCCCAGCTTGGGATCCCAGGGCACTACCAGCATTTCCTCAGTGGTCGTCAGTGGGCCAGCTATGGATTTTGGGGGGGGGCATAGCTGAAGCCCTTGGCACCCCACAGCCCTGGCTCAGGACCCCAAGGTGCTTCCTGCAGCAGCTCGGTGGTCATCACTGGGCTCATGGACGTCAGGGGTGGTGGTGGTTGAGACCCTTGGTCCCCCACAGCCCCATCTCAAGGGCCAAGGGTGCTTCCTGTGATGGCTTGGTTGGATGCAGATGTTGGGGTGTGTGGCTGAGGCCCTTGGCCCCTCAGTGCCCTGGCTCAGAGGCCCAGGGTGCTTCCTGTGGAGGCTCAGTGGGTTATCAATAGGCTGGTTGTGGATGTTGGGTGGGTATGGCTGAGACCCTCGGCCCTCTCACCTCCCTGGCTTTGGAGCCCAGGGGCTTCCAGTCCTTCTAGGTTTTATAGGTGTTCTTTGGTGGTCTTAGACCTTGACTACTAAAGATCAAGCTTTGTCTCTGATCTGAGGATATATATTTTTTTTCTTCCACTTCTGTGTTGGATTACTCACTGTTCCCACCACTCAGACTCTACACTGGAATTAATTTATTGTCTTTGGCTTACTTGTAAAATGGAGGAACTTCCCGTGGAGACCAGCACTTGAGCCCTGTGGTTTAGCTAAATTGCTTCTTTGCTGCTGATTCCCTGGGAAAGGCTTTCTGTGCAGCTCATATTTAATGGTTGACCTTGTATGTACTTCCTGGTCTCATGAGGTCTGGTTCACCTGGGTTGTGTGGAAACTCTTGTCTGGGCCTGAGTCTTTTCAGCACACTGCAACCCCAGCAATTTTATATTCCTGACCAGTCTACACTGAGTGGTTCTGTGCTGACTGGAGTAGATCAGCTGTCTGTACTGTGCACCAGTGTTCCCCTGGTGGGCCATCTCCCCAACTGCCCACACTCCAAACACTTCCCATAGGACAGGCCATGCAATGGTTCCTTTTCATGACTCACTGGCCTCTTAGTGGTCACTTTTGTCTGTTGTCTGTGGCTCCTCCCTCCCATATGGGTCCATGGAAACCCTGTTAGTGGTCTTGCTGGCCTGGGGAACACTAAGTCCCTCTTCTCCCCTGCCACTTTCAAGCAACTTTATACAAAGGGCACAGCTGTGGCTTTTGACATGTCTTGCTCTGTGTGTTCACCAGCTCCAGCCTTAAAGTGGCTGGGGCTCAAAATTGTGGGAGCGATCCTTTCTTTCTCTCATCGTGGCTTCTCCTGCCTTCATGAACTCCATGAGTCTCTCCTCATCTTCCCCTGAGCTCTAGCAGCCCCATCTTGGCTGTCATTGCTTTTTAATGGTTGTAAATTTGTTGATTTGCCAGACAGAGTGATGCT